AAAATGCATTAAAAAAGAAAAAAACTAAGATATATACATATATTATCTCCCCTAGTTAAATACTGATTAATATATTACTACAATATTAGTTTCCTGTCCCTGGCGAAAAAGGCTCCCAAAAATTTTAAACTACTAAATCTATTTGCAAATTATTAACCTGTCATCTATATGCTATATTAATGACAAAGTAGTTAACAAGAACAATAATAATAAAAATGCAAGATTAGAGTTTCAAAACCTTCTGTAAATAAACTGCTTTGTAATCAATTTGTAGAAAATTTACTACGGCATCTTACCTATCCCAAATTGTCCCAAGAGTTAACAGTGATTCATCCTGGATCAAATATCCATGTTTGTTTCCTAATACCATCTCTTCTCAATTGTTTCTGGTTAACAATAATAAATCCAATCTCCAAAATTGATCTATCTTGCCAAAAAATTCCGGACAAAATTGTTTTCCAGTTAAGTATAGATCCATTTCCCAATCTTCAATCCTGCTAGGGAAAAACAATTTATTATTTTTCCACTCAGTCAGATTTCTGCTGTTGTAAAAGAATGCATGCTTGAAGTTTAAGAAGCATGTGCAATCAGCTCAGTTAGTTTTAAGTCTGTACAATCCATATTTCTTTCCAATGAATCTGCTGCTTTCAGGTCACATTCCTTTTGTCCTAATTTGTCCAGAGCTACATGGATCTGAATATTTTCCGCACCCATTATCATTTCATCAAGCTTTTTAAAAAAAGCTTTCAACTAAGGATTGCATGTTGCCAAATGTCTTTTTTCAGATATCAGCCACATTTGCTTGTCTGAAATATGATATATCATTGCTCTGTATAACTTAGCAACGATAGTTAGGCACAGGGCTTTTTTTCTCATAGAACACCCAGAACAGAGTTGTGGCACCTTTTTTAGATGGAACCTTGTAGGGTAGGCAAGGCAGGTTGTATGACATGTGTGAGTTCTGGCACTTTTTTTTTTTTTTTTTAGAAAAAAAGCACTGGTTAGGAGAATATAGAAAATAGAATATTGAAGCAAAGTGAAGAAACATATAAGGAAACGGAAGATATTGTCTGGATATTTCAATCCAACATTAAAAGAAAAATTTAAAAAATAAACTCCAAATATTTTTCAAATAAATGCAAAAACTCTGTAGTGAGAGTCCAATATAGATGTAAATCAAATGCAAGCATTTTCACTACCCAAAAACAGGCCATGTTTCCTTATGAAAAAGCAAATGTTATTCAAAACAACAACATAAATCGAAAGAAAAATAAAAAAAGAACAGATAAAATCCAGCAGAGGGTTAAAATAAATCAGCATTTGGCCAGCTGGTCAACTTTTAAAGATAAAAAGCAAAGGGAAACAAAGATTCAAAAAGTGAAGTTAAACCTAGGTATGCTTAAGAAAACGAACTGCTGAGAGGAAGATGGATGACTGGTGACTTTCCAACTGCTCCCATGGGGAACTGGAATCTACAAGACTCCCCTTCCCAGGTGTGTCCACAGCCATCCAAAAGCAGTCTTGGATCATTCCTAAGTGCTCCCATTCAAATCCAGGAAGCAGCACTGCCAAAGAACCAGCTTTAGCAACAAAATAAGTAGATTATTGGCAGGAAAAAGAAAAAGGAGTTCTGAATCTCCTAGAAATACTTTAGCTCATGATCTTGACATATACAACTATCTAATGCTCTGCATATTATTCCTTAACTGGTTCCTTTCTCAGCAAATGTACCACATATGACAATAGAAAAATAATAAATATTTCAAGAACATTTCCAATGATACAAAAGCTCAGATAAACAGCTTTACTGTAGAAAAGTTATGAAATCATTACAAAAGAATTTTGGTAACTGATATATATCTAATGCAAGCCCTATTTATAGTGAAATCACGGTTGAAAATATTCCTTTCTCCCATCCGAGCCATACATTGGACAAAACAGCCCTCTCTTTTGGATGGGAGAGCTAGTTTCCATCTGTCTTGTGTTTTGATAACAGGCAGATCTCGTATCCAGCTGTTTACTTTTGACCATATGAGAACTGAGAGCCAATTTGGTGCAGTGATAAAGGCACCAGGCTTGAAACCAGGAGACTGTGAATTCTAATCCTGCCTTAGGCATAAAACCAGCTGGGTGATCTTGGGCCAGTCACTTTTTCTCAGCCCTAGGAAGAAAAAGGCAATGGCAAACTACTTCTCAAAAACCTTGCTAAGGAATCTGAGGGAACTTTGAGAATTAGACATGACTGAAAGGAAGAAAAAAAATGTGATACAGTATATACAGTATATAATAATACAGTATATTGTTTTACAGTCTATTTGTTATAAACTTTTTTCTACTAGTGAGTTAAGCACAACCTGCTTAAAGAACTCAGAATATCTTTGTTAGCATAGTAATCTATTGCATATTGTGGTTGTATCAATAATAGCTGACCGTTCTTGGTTCATGTCCTGATTTAGCTAAAATATCTCACTTTTCATTTATATTCTTCATGTCACTTGGAATTTTAATGCAAAGATAGCACTCCTGGTTTATACAATACCATAATATGGAACATACACCCAAAGAGATGGTGTTTGCCTCCTCATCCTTCCATTTTTAGGAACAGAGTCATGACTTTCCTCTTCCAACAAGCCTTTTGAACTGGCCAAATAATCATTTTTTTAAAAAAGTTGATTAGATTTATTTTTGAGTTACTAATATGAGTGTTGTATAGGTAGAAAGGAAAATTATAAATTGGATAATAAAGTAAATAAGAATCTGAGATGCCTGGAGCCAGAATATTCCTTTCAGCCTGTTCTCTTTCTTCTCATCTCATCTCAATCAATTTAATTATATTATTTCCCCCCATTGAAGTCAATGAGCATATAACCAGAAACATGTGCCAATCTAAAATATTGAAATGAGAGATGCATGAAATTGTAAGTTCCAGCTTAGACTGATGTTTAACCAGAGACCAGACATCTTGCTATGAAGCATCTTTCTAAAAACAGGCAGGCAAGGGGCAAAGTCAATTTAGAGGAAGGGGAAGAAATTTAGTCTCATGTGTTGAATTTCTGAAAGCAAAAGAGCTGCATATTTCACACTGACATTCTCATTCTAAACGTATTGTCTCTTGAGTACATTGCAGAATTCATTTTCAAGAGAGGAAGACATTTATTATGGATTGCAGCATCACAGGATAATAAAAATCTGGCACCTTGGAGAGATGACAGCAATTCAGTTCAACAGCAAAACTGATAAGGAATCTAAACACACCGTAATACAGTTTTGATATTTTTAGCGTAATGAAGCCATCAGTTCCTGTGGAGAATCTAAAAGTAGAGCATTTTTGTTTTGTAGTGGACATCCTTTAAGACTGCTTACAATTCTACATGTTTTAGATAAGCAGAGGAAAGAAACTGAATTCACACAATCATTTTATTTATTTATTTATTTATTTATTTATTTATTTATTTATGAGACTTATATACCGCTTTAAGTGCAAGCACTCTCTAAGCGGTGTACACCAGTAAGCAACGTATGTATATATTTACATTGCCCCCAACAATCTGGGTCCTCATTTTACCTACCTCGGAAGGATGGAAGGCTGAGTCAACCTTGAGCCGGTGAGATTTGAACCGCTGACCTGTTGAACACAGTCAGCTAAAGTGGCCTGCAGTACTGCACTCTAACCGCTGCGCCACCTCGGCTCTTCATCTAAATTCAAAAGCAGGTTTTTTCAATTTGGATATAATCAAGACTCAAGTTACCAATAATATAGCAGTCCTTGACTTACAATGTTTGCTTAACAACCATTCAAAGTTATAACAGACTAAAAAATGTTTTGACCCATCCTCCCAGTTATGACTGTTATACTATCCCTGGGGTCAAGAGATTGTATTTTGGGCGCTTGGCAATTGGCTCACATTTATGATTGGTTGCAGCATCTGGTAGTCACGTTATCTTTTTGTGGAGTTTTTCCCCACTGTCTGGCAAAAATCAGCAAAACATACCCAATGGGTAAGCTGGATTTGAATTTATGGCCACATAGTTTGTTTAACAACCATAGTGACTCATTTAACAATCATCATAGAAACAGCTGTAAAATCGAGTCCAGTCATATGGTGACGACTTATGACCACATTGATATATGACCAAAATTCTGGGCTCAATTATGGTCATAAGTTGAGGACTACCTGTAAATATCAGTGTTGCTGCTGCCAGCACTTGTAATGACAGTATAATGTTATGGAATATTCCTTCCTCCCTTCTCCGGTTGTTTTCCTTTTATTCAATTATGATATCATATTTGGTAGTTGTGCTCTCTCGATACTTGGGATAATCTAGAACAGACATGTCAAACATCGGAGATTTTTCCCCATTGCTGTCAATGGGGTGTGTGCAGTTTCCTGGTGACGCGTCCGGCCTGCGAGCTGGCAGTTTGACATCTAGACTAAGCCCAAATCATGTGAAAGGGAAACAAATGGTTGGAAACTGATCAAAGAGAGAAGCAACCTGGAATTAAGGAGATACTTCCTGACGGTGAGGACAATCAACTAGTGGAACAACTTACCCCCAGAAATCATGGGCACTCTATCACTGGAGATTTTTAAGAAGAGACTAGACATTCACCTGTCTGTGATGGTATAAGTTCTCCTGCTTGAGCAAGGGGCTGGACTAAAAAACCTCCAAGGTCCCTTCCAGCTCTATTCTATTCTAAATATACTATTAATATATTTATACTGTAAAGGATATCGTTATATTATATACTACCAAATTCACAGGAGAATATTGTCAAATTACATTCTTGTCCTCTGCCATGTACATAATGGGGACATTATGGTATCTTTTAGAATCTCCTGATTCTGGCTTTTCTAATACAGATATCCTTGGTAAATGTCTTTGACTGGAATCAGAAATTCTGTTGCTAAGACATGAAGTCATAAAGCATGACATCATGTGACTGCATTGCTTAATGACAGAAATTCCAGCAACCCCAGTTGCCATCATTAACTATATGCTACCAGCTGTTAGGTAAGGACTCTCCAGCCCCAAGCCTTGATAACGCAAAGGACTGCCTCCTCTTGAATTCTCCCCATCTGCCTATCCCCTGCCCATCTCTGCCCTTTTGGCCACTCTGCACAGTAGTACTTCTTGCATTAGCATGTCCATTAAATTAGGCTAGTTTTTTTCTTTTATCAGGCTAACAACTAGCAAGTAAGGCTATTCTGAACCATCAGTTAAACTAAACTCGCTTTGATGGATAACATGTGAATCCTATTGTTACCATGTCTCCCCCATCTCCTAAATTTTTATTTTTAAGACACTGACAGTTAACACCTATACTGGACTGGGTCAGTTCTGCTGTGCACCACTATTGGCTTCTCTCTCTTTCCTACCAATATTTATCAATGTAACTACCGTAGCTTCTTCTTTCCTATTTCCAAACAGCCTGCGCTGCAACCCATCTTTTCTCTTGTAATTAGTAAAAAAAGAAATATAGATCCAGCTAATGGCTGAAAAATGATGGCACTGGATTATCTATTAATGTCTCTTAAGACAAAAAAAGACAGGGGGGAACAGCAAAGCTATATTCCACCATACAATTACAAAACAACACCCCATTAAAGGTTTCACTATGCAACAGGAACTTTCTGTTCCCAATCAGATTATTGTTACCACTAGCTGTCCCTTTTAACAGATAATACCAGTAATTAGAGTGTTCCACATGACGAGTTATTATTATTAGGTGGCAGATGTTTAGTACTCTTGTTGACACCTCCCTAGACAAGTATTTTAATTAATACCAATAATATTTTCTTGCAATGCAAGCATATACACAACCAAGTACAGTATGTCACAATCAAAATATTGTAGCATTTTGTTATTTTTAATGTACTTCTGGCTGCCGCTCAAAGCACCGCTTTAAAAACAAAGAAGGTGTAAACTACAACACAGCCTGCTTCATTTCCAAGGTAAAGCTATTCTATTAATATTATTTTACATAGAGTTTTCTTGAGAATACGCATTAATGAAAACAGCACAGTATCAAACGCTACATCCAAAAACAGAACTCTGATTTTTAAGAAAGGTAAGACGAGTTGGGCTTATAGTAAGAATGCACATCAAAATTAGAGATCTAGTATGGCAACTGTGGATGCAGGAGACTGCATAGCTCATTCAAAGCCTCTTTTAAAAGTTTTCATATAATATATGATCTGTCTGCATAGCTATGGAACGGGACAGATTTTAAAACAAAAATATCCCACAACAATTACTGGTGGTCCTCAATTTACAACTGATTGCTAAGCAACCACTCAAAGTTCTGATAGTCCCCCCCCCAAGGTACTTACGATCGGGTTACTACCCCTGCTATTGTTCATTCTTATGACTGCTGGGACACTGCTGCGCCCCCCACTTGTTCTGCCCCTGCAGGTCTTGGCCTGCTTTCAACACAGCCACTCAGCGGAGCTTAAAGCCAGTGTAGGAAGTCAGCACCCCTCCTCCAGAGAATGAAATATTTTGGGGAATATTAAAGAGGCAGATTATACTGTATTTCCCATTGAAAAAAAATCATCAGGGTCCAGTCCAAGCTGGGAATAAACAAAATGGAGACTGCTTAGGAAAGAAGATTCAGTTTATTTAATTGCCAGAGTTTATTTAGTTGCCAGAAATTTCAGTGACACAGTATGATTCTGGGGTGGCTGACAAAATGGAGTTGGACTAGGTAGGCTTTTATATCTTTTTTGGGCTTTGTATCTGAGGTTCTTCCTGTTCCTGTGGCTTTGTATTTCCTGTTCCTGTGTCATGTTCTTTGACTTGAGTTTTTGATATTCTAATGATGGTGAGTTAATCCTATTATGTTCTAGATGTTCTGTCATTGGGAGTCTTTGTTTTTCTAATCCTATCAGCTCAAACATTCTCTGGAGCTGTGGCTGAAGGCATTTTGCTTATGAATAGGTTGCCCCAAACCTGCATTTCTAAAAGTTGGCCTGCTTAGTTGCTGCCTGGGGAAAGTTGGGCAGAAAAGCCTTTTAAGAATTTTTTTCATTATTCCTTTGGGGAAATATAATATTCTGCCTTTTTAAATATTCTCCCAAATTTTTCCTTCTCTAGGGGATGGGTGGGTGCCGACTTCCAACACCCCTGAAGCAGAAATGGAGAAAAAACTTAGGCAGAAATAGGCCAGCTTTTAGAAATGCAGATTTGGTAATCCATTCAGGAAGAATGGTGTCATGAAAGCTGGAGCTGATGAGATTAGAAAAACAAAGACTCCTAAAATCTACACACACACACACACACCCAGCTTCAACAACAGCACATGACTTCCAAGCCACGATGAGAGTCAGGCAAGAATAATTAGAATACCAAAAGGGCACAGGTCAAAAGTACATTGCACAGGAACAGGCACCTCAAATGCAAAGCCCAAAGAAGGTATAAAACCCATCCACTCTCAACTCCATTTTGTCAGCCACCCCAGAAACATCCTGTCACTGAAGTTTCTGGCAACTAAATAAAGATACCTCCTTTCCAAAATCTGGCCTGCCTTCAGCTGATTTCTACAGCTCCTTTCCTTCTGACATGGGTCTGCAGAAGCTATGTAGGACACAGAGGGCAATTAAAGTCTGTAGCCTACTTTCCATCTGGCTACCCAAGGCCTCCCCCAGGCCCTCGGGTCTCTCCCAGGCCTTGGCCTGCTCCCAACTGGCTATACAGCCATGCAAGAGAGCCTAAAGCCGGTCAGCAGAAGTGAAGGCAAGGGGAGGGCAGTTAGAGCCTGTAGGCTGAGGCCTACCTTCCCCTGCTCCTTGGGAGTTCTCCAGGCCTCAGCCTGCTTCCAAGCGGCCACTTAGCCACACAAAGAAGACTAAAGGCAGTCAGCAGAAGCAACTGTACAGAGAGGACAGTTACAGCCTATAGGCCAAGGCTTACTTTCTCATCCAGCCACCCAAATGACTTGCAGGACTCAGCCTGCTCTTCTCTCAGTCCCAAGGCCAGCAGCAATCAACTGACCTTTCTGTTTTGTTGCAGAGGAGCCAGGATGATGTGATGCAATATGATACAATGTGAGTCACAAAGGCAGCCTGCCATAGCAACTTCCTGCTTTTCTGCCAGTAGGTCATATTTTTGGAGCCTGTAAGGGGCTCTTATCTTTGTACATTTTCTAGAACCTCCTTAAAAAAAAAACCCAGAACCCTTGGGAGGCCCTTGGCTGAATGTCTAGGAAGTAGGCCTTGGCCTACAGACAGAAGTTATTAGCCTTTTATGTGTCAGTAGCTTTTGCTGACTCTCCTTGCATGGTGAGAGCAGGCCAGGCCCTGGGGGAACCCTGAGGGGCAGAGAGTGGACCACTAGGTGCCAGGATGGGCGGAGGGAGGCCTAGGACGGCCCGAGGAAGGCAGGCCTAGGCCTGCGCTAGGCCTCCCAGGACCTCTCCCACTCTGAAACGTGCTCTGCTTAACAACCTGGACCATTCTTGTGGAAAAATAAAAGCCTTAAAAAAAGAGGACTTTTACGAATTCCAAGGGTGAAAGAGAGGTTTTTATTTTTGCGCAAAAGGTTCAGAAGTGATTTAACAATCAGCAAATTTCTGAACAAGGGGGAGGGTCTAAACTAAAGCTTTATAGGTTTCTTTTTCTCAGGAACAAAGGAAGCATAGATGGAATCTTACATTGTATATGGAATCTACTTTGTGTAACATTCAGATAGTTTCTCACACTTTAAGTCCATTTCTCATGGGAATACAATGAAGGCAGTTTTTACTTTTAAACAATGTTTCTAAATATGCATTAGGTCATTCACGTACTGTTAATACAGCTTTTGGCTAACACAGCTTTCTTTCAGAAATTATGCAGACACATGATTTTTGCTTTTAGTGATTTTTCATTATTATTATTATTATTGTTATTATTATTATTATTATTCTTTATTATTCTTTATTCTATGTTATTCTATTTCTTTCCCACATTACCATCATTTAATGGTTCCCATCAGGGAGAGCAGGGAGTGGTGATTGTTAAGTGAGGCCGTGTCACTTAAAGGGACATTGCCACTTGCAACCGTAATGGGCAGGCTTCATTATGGTTGTAAGTCGAGGACTACCTGTAACTTTTCTGCAAAACAAGCAGTGTTCAGTTTGGATAATAAATTGGCCAGCATTAGCAAATAGAAGATGGCGTAGATAAATGTTTGTATAGAGTATGCACGGGTATGTGGAAGTGTGTCTTTCTCCTCACCTACCTACCATTAACCCCGCCCCTTTTGTATTTTCAGAAGATCCTCCCCTCAAGACCTGATTATGTTATGAGGCTTGGGCTCCCAGGAAACTGGAGATTTGCTTGTTCAGGTGATCTTTTTTATTCTCTCTTCACCTAAGAGTCTTTATGTTTGTTTTTAACCTATTCATTTCTTAATGTAAATTTCTATATGTTTTACATCTATTGTTTTTATATCTATGGTTTTCATCTGATTGTTTTCTGGAGTGCTTAGAATCCCTTTTGGTGAGATCGGCCACTATATAAACTTGATTAATAAATAAGCAAATATCTTCTCCTCAACATTTCTTGATGAAATACAGAATTGGTTTTATAGCTTGAAATCATTCCCATTACATTTGGAATAAATGTAATTTAGCGGATAAATAAGAACAAAAGAACTCAGCAATAAAAACAGTACATTGAAAGAACTCTGATACCATATTAAAAAAAAAAAGGAGCAAAAGTAGAAATTATATCCAGGAGTTGCCAGCTCTCTTTATGCCTTCAGATGTTCTGATCTTCTCTATTTACAAGGAATCCTTTTTATTTTCAGGTAACTGATGCTGCTAAAACCCAGAGTTATTAAAGGGTGAGAAATGCAAAATACTTGCAGACTGAGATGTAGTCCAAAATGATGGCCCTCAGAGATGTGCCTGTGAAACAGTTTTTCTTAGGATAAAAATGTACCTACAATACGCATGTGGTATGTTTTGCATGTAGGTCTAAAGAAAGAAGAATCATAACAGACTGATATCAAAATTAATTTAATGTAGTCCTGGAGACATTTTTTTGTCATACCTACAGATTTTTTGTCTTTCAGAAATGTAAACATTAGCTCCAAACTATGAAGGCAGTATTTGCCAGAAGCCAATGGGGCATATATAACCATCATGGTGGTAAAATGTACAATAGTATACTGGAAAATGTAGCACAGAAGTGGTGGAGGTTATGATAAAACATTGTCCAAACTGTCATCAAGAGAAAATGAAACGATCACAAAAGCTGATACAAAGTAATGCTTGTTGAATGTACTACACTGTTAATGAGCAAGTGACAGGCTGGGGCAAAAAATGTTTGCAGTGAGCAGAAGTCCATGAAATGGATCAGGGCAGTAAACAATTGGAAATAAAATGGAGGCACGTTAAAATGCCTAGATGGAAGATTGCATTTTTATAATTCCATTTCCAGTGAAATAAGTGGAATCATATCAGATCAGGACTGGAAATAAAACCTTTATGACATACACGTATGGCACTGTGATTGTTTTCATCCATTTCGACTTAAAAAAAAAACACAGCCAAAACATGGTGTTTTTCTGCCTACCAGCCCCACCTCCTGCTAAAACCTCATAGCACTGCAAATTGAAAACAAGAAAAGATTTACACAAAGCCTGCAAGCATCAACTAAAGCCCAGCTCCCCAAACTTAAAAAATATATGCATTCTTTTGTGAGAGAGGACCTTGATGCTTAAAAACATCAGGCGTCTGAATTTCTGGAGATGTTATGTGTTTGAACAAATCCCCAGCATTTAGGATAGCTGTCTGAAATGCGTATTAGACAGAAACAAGCCAGTTGCCAGTTCTCAGAGGGATAAGATTGTCAATGTACTTCTAACTGCTTCAAAGACTAACTGATGCACTTGGGGGCTCTTCGAGGAATGTGGGGGTATAAAAGAGATTCTCTGGGGATTGCAATACCTTCAGTTTGCAATAAATAGGAGGGAAATACCTATCTGGTTTTTCTGTGGCTCAGTTTGTAGGTCAAGATTAATACAACAGCAGCAGCATTGTGAAGGCTAATGTACAATCTATAAAACTCTTTTTAGCAGGCATGAATAAGAGAAAGAGCTAGCCTTGTGATATATGACTTGATTTTGATGGTTCAACGTTCTTGCAGAAATTGACTTCAGCTGGTTATACCAATCCATAAAATATTTCTATGCTTGCTCCCCAAATGGAGCAATGACTCAGGTTTAGATTCCTTTAGTGTGGGAAGTAACCCCCCCCCCAAGAAGGAAACATTAAAAAGGAGAATATTATGTTTCCTCAGAGAATCTTAAAAGAGGCAGGAAAGCATGCCCAGTTTTCTTAATAGCCTCAAGTCTCCCTCCCCCAAGCAGAAACCAGCTCTGTAGAAATGCTGATGTAAATAATCCAGGAAGGTTGGAGGCCCCCAGCTAGAAGCTTAGGAAGACAAAGACACCTAAAATCTACACATCCCACCCAAACTCTAAGACAGGACATAATAGGATTAACCCACAGATGTCAAAAGGCACACTCAGACTCAGGTCAAAGTTCATGCCACAGGAACAACTCCAAACAAAAGGCTCCAGAGGGTATAAAAACCCACTCCCTACATGTGCTCTCTTTTTTTCTTCCAGAGCCATCTTTCTGTCTGGCTCTCCTCTTCAATAAACTGCAACCTTCTTTCTAAAGCAGTCGCTATGTTGTTTATTCCCAGCTTGGATTGAACCACGATGAAGACTTTTCCTTCAACATTAGTGAAGAGTCACTGTAAACTTACTATATTTTTATAATGCTTATTTACAAATATATACATTGGGCATCGAAGGAGGCGCACTTCCTCATCACTGTGTCCAATATTGTGTCTAGTAACTGCCAATATTGAAAATAACAAAACGAAGAGAAACTGGAAATTGTATATCAATATTCTCTCTCTCTCCATCTCCCTCCCTACCTCCCCAGCAGTTCCTACTATGAATGCATTCACTTTGGTGGATTTAAAGGATGAGATGCTCTATATGGCTTGCAGAAATGAAATGTATGAGTTAATCAACACCTGGAGAAAAGGTTTTCTATGCCAGCATGACTAGCACAATCCCAGCATTGTTTCTGGAATAGTTGCATCTGCACCTGCAGCTGATGGCAAATTGTGAAGAATATAAAAATGTGCCATGATGGGTACAGGGAGAGAGCCAAAACAGGATTCCAGTTTGCTTTGGCTGAGTTTTGTAACTGTTAGCAACGTTGCCATGAAAGCTTGCTTGATTAGAAAATCTGAAAGCAATACAAAAATGAATGGAAATTTGGAATGTGGTCCAATTTTAAAAATAAAAAACCCTTTTATTTCTCTATAATAGGACAAGGAGATAGAGAGAAATCGATAAACAAAATCACAGGGAGAAAGGGACTACTGTTACATTTTCCAAAAATTTTGATCAACCTAAAAAGCTGTTTGCATTCTATTCCCTTGCTAAGTTTCCTTTGTGCATTGCAAATTCATGCTACCAAGGAAACCAAGATAATTTTTTTAATGTGCTTTCTTATTCCCCCCCCCCCATCACTCCTTTCCCTTCAGAAATTTGGTATTCTTCATTGTCTAAAACTAGTAGCAATTTCTTCAAAGGCTTTGAGAAATTATTCAGAACCATTTCCAATAAAATATCATAAGTCTTCTTTTCTAAAAGTGGCATTCTAATAGCAATTTCAATTTGGTCTGTCAGTTAGAAGGAGCCACAGAGTTGCTCCTGCAATTGCCACTGGAAATTGGACTGACTTCTATGTTCATTCAATATGTGTTAAGTCTGATTCAGGGATCAGATTTACATATCTACCTTTACAGTACCCTCTGAAGATATATTATTCTAAGCAATACGGGGAGGCAGGCATTTCATCACTATGTTAAAATCATGTATTATGATTCTTAGCCAGCACATATATCAATAGTCAAGATCTTGGGTTCTGCACATGGAACTAGTCTATTTATAAAAATTACATGTCATACAACTACATGTTAAAGATGCCCATTGTGATCATGATGATGATGTTATGCATTCAGTTGTGCCTGACTAGGTGATTCTGTGGCCTGGTCTCTTCACGTCTTCCGATCTCACACTACTACTTTGTGTTTTTCTATGCTGTGTCTGGTGTCAGCTTTGATGGAGAAAGATGCCCATAGTTAAGTGCATTAATAACATATGTACAGAAAGGGAGAAAAATACTGAGTGGCTAGCCTGAGTTACAATAACATTTTTAATGCAAGAAAGAAATCTATATCAGTGAACATCAGGGACTGGCTCTGAAGGGATGTGCACCAATGTTTGTAAACTGTGGGTTCTCTAGTTGGCATTGCTTCTGTTCAAGAAGCATTAACAAAGCTCACTATACAAAGAAAATGGAGCTTATTTTGTTCCATTAAGTACTTAAGCAAACAATACTGGTTTTTTTTTTAAATTGTAGCTGGTATGTTTGGCTAACAATGAAAAATGGAAGAAAGAAAAAGAGGTACAGCTGGCTAATTATAGGAAAGGAACAACAAACCACAGTATGAAATAGTGGCACAAAATACTGTTAAGTTTTTCCCATTTTTCCTTGTGTTGTGAGCATTTGGTATTTCAGTTAAAAAAAGCTTTGGTATGGCTCTCCTAAGTATGCAACTCCCTTAGGTTTAAAGAGGAGGTTTAATTTGTTCCTTTTTTCAGGTCCTTTATAAATTTGGAAGGACTTTTTTTTTCAGTGCAATAACCTGTTGGGAATTTAAATGATGACAATCCTGAGAATTTTTTTTAAAAAAATCTGATTATTAAATAGCTACGTTGCTGATATTAAAACTGTGTTATGACTTTTGTTTTTCCTCGTATAATTTTGCTTAGGTCTAAGTGCACATTAAATACAAATATTCCGCCTCCTCTCTATTAGCAATTCATTTTGATCTTCTAAACTTGCTAGAATGTAAATAATGTTCTACAACACGAACTTATCAGAAAGGCATTTGGAGGCAGAATAAAAAAATGGAAGTAAAACCATTACTAAGGAACATATTAGCTATTTTTATTTATCTTTATATCTGTTATAAACCAAACAAAGCTTTGGAATTCTTTTTAATGGTAGGAAAATGAAATAGCTTTTAAAAATAAATATTTACAGGTAGTCCTCAATTTACGACCACAACTGAGCCTAAAATTTCTGTTGTTAAATGAGACATTTGTTAAGTGAGTTTTGCCTCACTTTACGACTTTTCTCGCTTCAGTTGTTAAGTGAATCACCGCAGTGAATAAGTTAGTAACCTGGTTGTTAAGTGAATCTGGCTTCCCCATTGATTTTGCTGGTCAGAAGTTCGCAAAAGGGGACACTGAGACTGTCATGAATACGAGTCAGTTGCCAAGCATCTGAATTTTGATCACGTAACCACGGGGATGCTGGAATGGTCGCAAGACACATTTTCAGTGCTGTTGTAACTTTGAAATGTCACTAAATGAACTGTTGTAAGTCAAGGACTAACTATATAAAGCAATACTTCCCAATTCCCAGCTATGTCGTCTCCTGTCTTTGGAGATAGGGCATGAAAAAGACAAAGAATTTTCACACATAGGATACCCAGGAACTTATGGATATATAATAAATAATACAGATTCCAGTTGTACTCTGTGTTATCAACTGTTGAGCTTTATTTTTCTGGAAAAGTTCTTACAAAAAACCCCAATGTGAGTTTCAAAGGCCATACAGGTAATCCTCAACTTATAACTGGTCATTTAGCGATCATTTGAAGCTACGACATAGTTCCATAGTGCCTTCCCTCACAATCAAGTCACCGTGTTTTGGGCACTTGACAAGCAGACCACATTTATGGCTGTTTGCAGCGTCCCACAGTCACATGACCATGATCTACGATGTTTTTGCTGAAAATTAACATGTATTTGTGGTTTTGGGCAAAAATATCCCATAACAAAAATGGATTCACTTATCAACCGCATTTGCTTAGTGACTGTGGCAAAAAAGTTGTAAAATTGGATTGGTCACATGATAACCCACTTTATAAATGTTGCAACTTATGTCTTTAATGGGCAGGCTCTGTCACAGTTGTAAATTGAGGACTACCTCTACTGTACTTGAAAGTAGGAAGGGACAAAACAAAGGGAACACTATGAAGGACACAGCCCAGGGAATGAAAATATTAAAGCAAAATAAAAAGTCTTGTAGCAGAAACTTATCTTGTTGCAGCAATCACAGAACTTTCAAATTGATCAGAAATGTATAAGACTATGAGAGATAATATCTCCTTTGAACAACACAGAACCAGTTGCTACTCATCACATTTTCTATCTGAACACATACTTCCAAATACATACTTGCTAATTTGAATATCATTAACCTTTATGAGCCTATCTTCTAAAATTTAATATAGTAGATTATTACATAGTACTGAAAAAGGTTTCACAAATGTTTTCACAAGTTTTCACAAAAGAAAAAAAACTGTTAGACCATAGGAAAAGTATACCTATGGGGTAATTTTAATTCCCAGACATAAGGCAAGTTCAGCTTTTTGAATTTTTCCATCCTTGTTCACATCACAATGATGAAGCAGGATCTCTCGGAATTTATCCAGATCTGTACCAGTAATGCTGGGCTATAACAATAATAAGAGAGAGAAAGAAAAAGAAAGAACAAGATAAAAGCATACTGCGTAAAACAAATAGTCATTTTTAGCAATAAGGCAATCTATATTTATTTATTTGATTTGATTAATTTAATTTATAAGACCAGAGGTTTAGCAGCATACAGTTAAAAGCAATACAACACCTAAAAAAAAATCTAGAAAAATTAAAATAACATACAACTGAACACAACACAGGGGAATAACACATGATTGCCAAAACGAATTACACACCAGTAGGCATAACATCAATCTATACCAGAGCCTGATTCTGCCTCTTCCATGTTGTTTTTTTCATTTCCCAGCTTAGCCTCTAACTATTCCTTCAAAGTCCAATATAACTATTCCTTCAAAGTCCAATATAACTATTCCTTCAAAGTTCAAATATAAACAAGGCCTGAGTCCCTACTTAGCTTCCTAGCCCATCAAGGTTATATCCAGTTGGTGTCATTTGCTAGGAGAATGAGAAATAATGGAGTTGTATTCCAGGGTAATAGATTTAATTTTTTTTAAAAAAACACATCACATGAAACAGTCTTCTTGAATTGTGGCTCTTTCAGATATTTTGAACCTTAACTACTATTATCCCTAACCGAGCTAGGTAATTGCTTGATCTTTGAGGGTAATGGCAGATGTAATTTAACATAAAGGCAGTTATCAGATTGGGGAAGATTGGAAGAAATACATTCTGTGGAGCTGAAACACATGGTTAGTACATTACCAGCAAATATTTATGTCTGGGAGGAAGGATGGGGAAGGGCAACAATTGAGGAAGTATTGATAATTTGAACAAGACAAGCTGTAGTGTACGCAAAAGTTCTTCATGTTACATCACAATTTCCCATTCTTCTCTTCTTCATTTCCCAAAAAGGAGAAAATGTATGCAGCTTATTTTGTTCAGTCATTAAAGAGCCGGATGGAAACATTCATAGGTGGTCTAATTGATCTAGGACTGAGAGCAACTTTTAGCTTAAAAAAATAATGTGCACAAAACATAAAAAACAGTGAACTTACCTTGACAAGTTCTATCATATCTTTTACAAACCCATCAACTTCTGGACCTTCAAGAGCTCCTGTCTTACTCTGGAATATAAATTTGTGGAGTAAAAATGTTGACATATCTATCTGCATACTTTTCTTCTCTTTCTGGCAATAATATACTCAACCTTAAACCTATATTCTTGTAGATATTTTGTGCCAAATTAAACAATAAGAAGGATCTCATGGGAAAGAAAAAAGAAAATTACCAGAATCCATAAGGAAAAAAATTACGGCCTTATTCCTGTCCTCTCAGCTTTGGGAACAAGTAGACCAGGGATCTTCAAAGTTGGCCCTTTTATGACTTGTGGACTTCAACTCCCAGAATTCCTCAGCCAGGCATGCTGGCTGAGGAATTCTGGGAGTTGAAGTTCACAAGTCATAAATGGGCCAACTTTGAAGACCCCTGAAGTAGACTCATAACTCTCACAAGAGCTGTGGCATATTAGAGACTAATGGGATATGAGCATCAAGCTTTTTCTACCACATGGACCAGATCAATAAGAGTTATACACTTTCTACAAGCACATTACATGTGTGTCATCTGCACAAATAAAATGAGGAAGCAAGTATGCTGGCCTCCTTTACATAATTCTATTGGTCTGCTTCTTATTGTACACAGTTGGCTTTGAAAGCTAAGATCTTCATCTATCCATGGAGATTCTTTGTGCAATTCCTGCCCATAAAAATGAAATGAAATATGACATAGGAAACCTTCATAGATAGAGAAGCTTTCCTCTGCCTATAGTCTTCATCTGTACCTGGTTAAAATGTATTACATTTAGAGACCAGAATTATCTGCATTTGTACCTAGAGGACCTAGAGGGCAAAAATTACTATGAATGGAAGATAGTCAGGATCGGCTTCTGAAGTAACTCATGATCCTTGCCCAAAAAATAAATAAAAATACTGCTGCCTTAATAATCACAAAATAGATACACACTCTTGCTTGTTGCTAAATACCTCTTTGAAAAGTTTTGACATCCCTAACAAATTTAAAAAAATGTTTTTTTGACATTTTAAGAAATGGAAGGCAGAAAATGCCTTCCACCAAGAGCAGTATTTATCTGGATAATGCCCTGTTGACCCATTTGCCCAGCAAAACAGCTATAATAATCCCTACAATTATTTTAAATATGAATGGGGTGACATGTAACATTGGTCACTATGTTGCCACAGAGAACATGGATTTGTATGCATACATATTTAAAAATAATTATAATTTAAATAAAGCAATATCCATTTCTACACTGTGTGAAGCCTTATAATCAGGTGACTTGTAGTTTAACTGTCTGGTACAGGTCACAATAATGTCACCTGGGTAATGATTATGCAAATAAGGTGAATTATGTAATTTCAATGCAAATTACATTACTGAGCCATTTGGATGAGGACACCCACAGACACCCATGATTTGCATGCCTAAATAGGACTAATTAATGATGGACAAGTTCAAGGAGTTATTTCCCCTTCATAGATTATCTTTAACTTATCTTTAAATTAGATACAGAGTATTTGAAATGTCTTCCAATAAAGAACAGCATTCATAAAACAGGCAACTATCATTTGCTGTATTGCAGGGTCAGTAATCCCAAATAGTAATAATAAAACTCTTACAACATCATAGTGTGCAAAGATTTTCTCAAAATCTCTTTTTCTTTCTTCTGCACTCGAAGCCTGAATCAAAGAACAGGAATTAATTTTGGAAATAAAAACTATATACAGCAAAAAAAGGAATAATCAAGTTCCCTGCAAATTACTGTACTTACATCCAGTTTAAATTGAAGGAGAAAATTTTCCTGAAGAGCTAAAATCCTGTATGAAAAGAGTTAAACCATTATTTTCTGAGACTTCATTTCCACAGAAATAGACAGTTGTGCTTGACAGAGCTCAGAAAGAGAGGAAATTTCACAGGAAGTTAGCAGACATTTCTGGAAGCAGTAGTTTGTGATGTGGTGCATTGTCACCTTGCATCCAGGAAAAGCAAGTCCTGAGCCTTCAGCTTTTAGCACAACAGGTGTAAATACATCCAGAATTGGTTTGGGGGCAGAGTGACTCAGTGGAGAAGTAAGCTACTGAAGCCACTCCAAACAAATCAAATATTTACCTTGCCAGGTCATTCAGATCCAGCCTGCCATCTTTGTTTTTGTCAAAGAGCTTCATCTACAAAGCAAATAGTGGAAGTGAAATGATTAAGACTAGGAGAGTTAGGGAAAAAAAAAAACCAACACCCCAAACCAATAGTATTTTACTAATCAGAATAATACATTCAAATTACTTTGAGTCACAGCAGGCAGAATTATGTTGTGATCCAAAGATGTTCCTAAGTCCGTCATAGATTTCTCCTAGGGATATTTGGACTGTTCAAGTCATAACTTTAAAAGAATGTTTTGTGACTCTTCTTTCAGCTAGCAGGCATTGAATACATAAGCAAAATATTTACCTTTTTTCTCCCACTTTCCAACTTTTTCCTAACCACTGATGGAATGTCGTGTTTTTTTAGTCTAGGTTGATTCAAAACAAGGTGCTACTACCTTCAATAGTGTTTGGTCCCTGGAAAGCATGTATAAATCTGCAGCCCAAAAGCCTTTGAGGATGAGATAGGCTAAAAATCTGAAGAATGTAATTTTAGGATAAGATAATTTGGTCAGCCTTAACAAACTGTAGGGACAAATCAAGAATTAAATGTAAGTCATAAAGGAACAATTGATGGGGGAGTGCTTAAAATTTAGGCTTTTGCATTTGACTTATGGTAAGACTTTATTATGTATTGTTTGGGAGTCATGGGTAAGTACCTATGTAAATACTATAGGCCTAAGATGTCAACAGCATCTTGTCCCAGACATGCATCCTTAGGTACTGAAATTACAATTCCCAGACATTTCTACTAGCATGGCCAAAAGTTCTACAGGCCAACATTTCTGATGGAAGCAGTTCTAGTGCACTGGGGGGAACTACTGGGGAGAAGTTTGCAGGAGCAGGTCTTCTGAACTTGTTCTTGGAAGCCATAGGCCAGGGCTCTCCAAACCCGGCAACTTAAACACTTGTAAACTTCAGCATGGCTGGTTGAGGAATTTTGGGGGTTGAAGTCTACAAGTCTTCGAGTTGTCAAGTTTGGAGAGCCCTGTCATAGGCCATCAGAAAAATTGTGCTTATCCATCATCTTGCTGAGCTGCCTAGAAACATTTGAGACTACCAAAAAGCTTTGTCTTGTAAAAATCAGATTTAATTAAGAAATTTCAGCCTCTTGGTATCAAAATTTATTAATGTAAAAAGCTTTCTCTGTGCTCTGAAGTATATTCTAATTTCACTTAACTGTATTCTTATCATTTTTGTTCTTGTTGGTTGGTTTACTTTTTGCCCCACCCTTTTTGCCCTTTTCCTGCTATTATATCACAAAACAACAAAAGGGGGGGGAAGGGCAATGCTTTTTCAGAATGAAAGGAAGAAAGAGTGAAGGAAATAGTGAATGGAATAAACTACCGGTATAATAAAAGGAGGTTGAGAAGCTGGATTTAATGTTTTATATGTGGGAAGGTGATTTGGCAAACTGCACAGCTTAGCTCTAGTTCTAAAATATTCAAAACTGGGATAGTGTTTAATCTTTATTTTATTAATGCTACCATTAGGAAAGCTGAAAAAAAAAACCCATGGGGGAAAATGTGAGCGTATCCATATGTTGCATAGTATCTCATCTTTCTATCCTTTAATCTTCAGGCTCAGTGGTTTAGAAGATTAGTGCCATCTCACACTCAGTACCCTGTACTCCTACAGCATATGATTTAGTTTTTGTCAGAAGAGTGCAAAATGTAGGCCAGGGGTGGCAGGCTTGGCAACTTTAAGACTTGTGGACTTCAACTCCCAGCATTCCATCTGGGGAATTCTAGGAGCTGAAATCTACAGGTCTTAATGTTGCCAAGGTGGACACTCCTAATGTAGCCAAATGGATGCTCAAGCTTTTTTAGAAATACTATACAGTATATGAGTGGTGTCTAGAAAGGTCCTTCTACAAAAGTATTCCCAAGATCAAGTGAGCAGCTTCTCTCTTTATCTTTGCATCTTACAAATTGCCAATTTCTGCATCTCATTATCTCTCCATCAGACCCGCTCAACATGTGCCGCACAAACCCTCAATTGGAGGAGGAGTCATGCTCTGATATAGTGAGATCTCTAACTTTCTATCAGTTCCCATTGACAAAACGTTAATGAACTTGGATTATTAATCAGAAATACCTCAACTATTAACCACAATGTAAGGGTACAGCTGGCCTCATTTCACAAAAGATGACTAATTGAGATGCCTGGCTGAACTGGGAGAGCAACTCTGTTTTCTATTGGCGCCTTCATTGATCTATTGGAATTGACATGTGATGAATTTTTTAACAGTAATCAGAATGGCATTGCCAAGACAGAAAACTAGGGGTTGGTGATGCCCTGCCTGCTCACCAGATGCCCACGGGCATTGCCAAGTCTTCAAAATAATAATGAGAAAACTCACTTGCTGTCCTATGAAAATGCCTAACTCGTGTGAGATAACGAGATATTACAAGACTTTGGCCGTTTCTAGCAGGACATTTTGGCAATCTCGTATAAAATCATACCAGCACTGCATGAATTAGAGTTTTATTGAATCTTTTCTTGCACCTGGCTCATTGTCTGAGATCATCACCCAGTTCCATGGTATGAATCATGATTTGCTACTGCGAGGATGAGCTTAGCTTCTTCTACAGTTTACATCCTTTCTTTGCCCTTCTCTTCTTCTGGCAAGCTCAAAAGCCTTCGCTTCTCCTTTACAATACTGTACAGCGAAATAAGTAATTGTTGATAAATAGTTAATTTTACTCATGACATGTCCTTTCCTCTTCCTGAGGTTTATTTAGGTTTGTGAATTCTGTCATTACTGCAACATGTGGCTGAACTGAGCTGAAAGCAAAAGTCACCTTTCATACCAGTGCAACAAGAAAAACATGTAGCCTGCAGAGAGGCCAGGTTCCTTTTTATTTTTATTAAGTATTTCTAAAAAGGTAAAGGTTTCCTCTATCCAGTCATCTCTGACTCTAGGGGGCCTGCTCATCCCAGTTTCTTAGCCAAGGGAGACAGCTTTGTCCGAAGAAGCTTTTGTGGTCATGGGGCCGGCATGACTGTACGCTGAAGCCCATGGAACACTTGCCTTCCCACTGAAATGGTACCTATTTATCTACTTGCATTTGCAAGCTTTGGAACGGACAGGAGCTGGGGCAAGAATGGGAGCTCACCCTGTCACGTGGCACTTGGGTCTCAAACTACCAATCTTCCGGCATCTTAAGTGCTAGGCCACCGCACCCTCCCTTATCATTTATATCCCATCTTTATTATTTTTATAAATAACTCAGGGTGGCAAATATATCTAATACTCCTTCCTCCTTCCATATTCCCTACAACAACAACAACCTTGTGACATGGTTGGTCTGAGAAATTGGCCCAAAGTTACGCAGCTAGCTTTCATGCCTAAGGCACGACTTTGCACAGTTTCCCAGTTTCTAGCCTGATGCCTCAACTGCTAGCTAAACTGTGCTTTAGCATCATGTCCCAAAGAGCACAATTGTTTTCTAATGTACCCTTTCCTTTTCTTTGAAAACTCTTCTCAAATTGTTTTGATGGGCTTAATGTATTAAAGTACATAGGATGTGCTCTCTTACTGCACTGGAATAATTTTAAAAGAAAAGCTAAATAGATAATGCCATGGATTATGTAGGACCCAAACAATTTATCGTTCAAAACTATTTTTTGGGAGCAGGAATCTGATAAACTAAATTACTCATCAACTATTTGGACAAATATGGGAAACGGTCTCATCATCCATCCAAATCAATTAATTTATAGCACTTCCTTTAAATTGCACATGGGTAAAAGGTGCTCCTATATCTGATGAAAGCATATTGTCCCCTGGAAAGGAAAGCCCATTGCTGATAGCTGGCTAGATATTATCATGACCTGCTATTTTAGCCAATGAATAATAATCTCAATGATTATTTTGGCAGGGTAGGTGGTGTGATTTGCAGATGAATATGCTAGTAATGAGCTTTCCTTGCACATGGCATAGACAAAATGTAGCTTTGTGAATTGCAGAATGCTACTAGGTCATACCATAGAGTTAGCAACTACTTGGCCATCAAGTATATCTGGACGGCTTGTAAGGCTGGATGCTCAAATTAATGGAGACAGCATTTATAGAGAACTGCACTGCTATACAGAGACAATAGAGAGCCATATGAGAAAGATCAGCAATGATACAATTCTACCTGGATGGCTGAGAATCTTCATCAATATGAGCAAGGACAAACTAACTACAAATTAAGTTTCCTTTTTTTTAGGGAGATATATTAATTAATGTGATCAGACTCTTTTTGATTGTCATTACACAAGTTATATTGATATTGGGGAAAATAAATGTTTTGGCAAATCATCAGCCAATTAGCACCCCCAAAATACTCTCAACTCTCCCCCACTCAATATGGACAATGTATATGGTTAGCTAGCCACAAATAAAAAGAGAATTTGCATAGCCTTGCATTATGCTTAGAGAACATGATGCCCCCATGATGAGTGCTGGGTGATAGACTTGCAGCATGTTAACTTGGTCGTTTTAGTTCACTGGCTAAACCTTCCCCTATCACTCCTAGGATGATGGCATTATGGCTTTGTTCATCCTCCTTTGATCCCACTGACATGCAAAGGTTTGCTAAGGAATGCCAGCGACACTATTGCTGGATCCCCAAGGGGCCCACTACTAAAAAGACTATCCTTTGAATTATCACCAAATGCATCTTACTGAAACATGAGAATAAAAGTCTCGTCCAATGATCTTAGCAAAGGACTGGGTTATCTATGTGTTTGCATGCTGCTGTGTATGGCCTTTAGGTCTGAAAAATTTGCCTGCCCAGTTTAAAATTGGCCATTTAATCAATTGTTATTTACAGGTTTATTCTATTTGTGGAAGTGAAATGTAATAAAAGATACTCAGGACTTCTTCTCTCTGTGTGCTAATAATCCTAGTCCTTAATCCACTAAACTTTTTATGTATATAATATTTAAAATGAGTTCAACATAATTGAGATAAAATATCTCAAAAATTGCTAGATGCATGGAAAGAAAACATAATGAAGAAAAATAATAATAACTAGGACTAAACAAACTAAACATGTCTTTGGGGTAAGTGTTCCTGAGTGAGCTTTTTTTAAAAAAAGGTTGTAAGAAATATTGAAATGGAAAAGGCTTACATGCTTAGGCCATTTAAATGGTAATCTATATGCACTTAACTTGAATATAAAATCATTGAAATTAGTGGCTTTTAAGGCTAAGTAGATATATTGTGCTGTTAGTACTATAAACACCAAACCAGCAGTTTAAACTGAGCATGGAAATAAACTGGCAGCCAATAAAGATGAAATAATAATAACATTGGACTAATGTGGTTGCAGAGTCAGCCTGAATTAATATCTTGCATCTGAAAATTTACTTTTGGTTGCCGACATTCTGCAAGGCGTTTGCCTTTTACACATTCAAGCTGTTGCCACAGCCCCAAAAGCTGAAAGAATGTTTTTGATTTAGAACAAGAATATGAGCATCCCTCGTCAACATCTTAGCAAGCTTTCTGCCTCCTTAAAGCAGGACTTCCCAAGCTTTTTCCTTCCTTACCCAAAACCACTGATATAGAGTTCCAGAATTGGACGGTTCTTGTGAGGTCATCTAGTTCAACCCCCTTCTCAGAGCTCTCCTTACTTCATTTCCTCTTTGCTCTTGCTCTACCATTTCCATTTTTTTCTTTGCATTATATTTCTGAAGATAGAAGATTGCTGTTTGAAATGAGCCTTAAATCCTACGTATATGTTTTGTGTATGATATTTTTTTTCATCTTTTGCTACACACATCCAAATAGGTTAAAAATCTTCAGGCTGCTTCAGAGATTTAGGAATTACTATAATATTAAGAAATTTTAGTTTACCATAGTATCAGTATATTCTTGCAGTTTTGCCTTGGAAACGTTTTTTCCATGCTGCCGAAACAGATCTTGCAGAAAGTCCTAAGTTCAGGAAAGAGAATAGAAGTTATGTTTCAGCATCATCCTAGACAGGGCTAGGCAACCTTGGCTCTTTTATGACTTGTGGACTTCAACTCCCAAAATTCCTGAGCCAGCTGGTTCAGGAATTCTAGGAGTTGAAGTCCACAAGTCATAAAAGAACCAAGGTTGCCTACCCCGGTCCTAGAACAATATGCATGACTCAAGAGCTTGATTCCTATAAGTCTCAAGCATAATTTATGGATGGCCAACTTCGTTTTGGCTTCCAGAGGTATTTCTGTCTCTGTAGTTGAAAATAGACACAGCAGGTTTCCACTATTTTAAAAAGAAAATAGCTCCTCTAAAAGAGGGAAAGAAATAATAAATTAACCCGAAAATATTGTCTATAGGCACATTGTGGACCTATTCATTTTGGGTCTTAATCCCATCCACAATTGCCAACCCCCCAAGGAAATTTAATTGCAGTTTCTAGTCACCCTTGGGAAAGGTGGCTTACCTGGAACTGTGCTTAGTACAGGTAATGCGCAAAGGTAATCAAAGAATAACTAATAACAAAAGCAGTATCTGGATAAAGTTCCAGCAAGCCCAGAACTTACTCGGAGTTCACCAGCTGAAATAAAGCCACTGCTGTCAGCATCATAATGACGCCAAATCTGTAGAAAAGAAAAAAATGTGATATTTTACAAGACATGTTCTCGAATTAACACCCTAACCTCACTGATAAATCCTTTGGTAGATTTCTCGCAGGACCGTTACAATGCTACTGGTTCAGAATACAGAAAGCCCGAGGAAGTGGTTGTACCACTAAAAAGCAAAATATGTAACATAGAACATGTTCTGTTAATCTGATTCATTAGATGAGTTTCATGGAACTGTCTATATTGCTTAGTCGCCAAATCACAAGAAAGAATTTGAGAAAGAAGGTTATATATTCAGGTAGCCCTCAACTGACCACAATTGAGCCCAAGATTTCTGTTGCTAAGTGGGACAGTTCTTAAGTGAGTTTTGCCTCATTGTATGCCCTTGCTTGCCACAGTTGTTAAGTGAATCACTGCAGTTGTTAAATCAGTAACACAGTTGTTAAACGAATCAGGCTTGCCCATTGACTTTGCTTGTCAGAAAGTTGCAAAAGGGGAATCACACGATCCCCAGGACACTGCCACTGTCATCAATACGAGTCAGTTGCCAAGCATCTGAAGTGTGATTATGTGACCATGGGGATGCTGCCATGGTTATAAATGTGAAAACCAATCATAAGTCGCTTTTTTCAAGGCCGTTGTAACTTTGAGCGGTCACTAAATGAATTGTTATAAGTTGAGGACTACCTGTACTACCATATCGAGCCTTTCTTCTCATAATGGTTTGGAAAGGAAATATTTCATGCACACTGTTTGTTAGGTCAGGGAGGGTCCTATAGCCAAGGAATGTGACAAATCACTTCTGGGGAAGCCCATTGTTCAGGACTTGGCATATTGAGCAAATGAGGGGTGTCCCTTATTGAAGAGAGATGGTTAGAGTTAGCCTTATGAGGCTTCCCTCAGATTTCATTGTCAACAGAGACTTCTGTTCTTAGGTTTAGATGGGATTGCAAGAGGCTTTGTCTGGGGGCAGGGAGGTCAATTTTGGCCTGATAGGATTAGGCAAAGAAATAAACTGGGTTTGATCCTGGTCACATCTCAAAGACAGGGAAGAAAAGGGTGCAGCCTCCATTTTATTTGCTACATTTACTTTGTCCACGACATACTCTACGCACTATCCCATTTTATTACAGGCCTCACTTGTTTGTGTTACTGTGCACACTTGTACCTGCAGACATGCAATCTCACACATGCACACATATGGCTTATTTCAGCAGTGACAACACAAAATTGATGTTCATTCCTGAAAGATCTAGAGATATAGGATTCTGCAAACTGGTTGGAATATTCCCTGCTCACCTGTGTATAACGGGTTTTTTTTCCCGCCTGAAAAGAGGACAGATTATAGACAGGCTAGTTCAGTCTGGACGTGTGGTTTCCATGATTGCACATCCAGGCCAGGATATTGCTGTGCAAACAATATAGCTTATCTCAAACTGCATTTTGAGGCTGAAACTGATAAGCCATAAAATCTGTTCTAACCAGGTGTAGAATTATCTTCATAGGATAAGAAATGATAATAATTTCTGAACTACTAGGACAATCTACACATCTCAGGAGTCATACAAAAGCTGGTTAAGTTGTGCATCTTCTTGGTGATGTGTTAAAAGCTGTTGCGTCTTTCTCAGTTTATTGACCAAAAACTTGTTTACTAGTTATTTTTTCTATGTAAGAGTCTATGGCGCTCAGGACAAACATGTTGCTAAGATATTTTTCGTAACAGAAATCTGACCATAAAACTACATGGAAAAATAGGGGAGATGGTGCAGCTTTTATTTCTTCCTGTGTGAAGTAAACCTGAGCTATCCATTAAACCTTCTGATATCTGTAGCTTGTTAAGCCAAAGGCTGACATTTGCACAGTTCAAAACACACAGCTCTTTTGTGGTTGTATTTGCTTCAAAGAAAGATAAGATAGTAATTTGTGAACTGAATAAGCAGCTAGAGAAAGAAGTATGGTATGGTAAGGTATGGTATGGTATGGTATGGTATGGTATGGTATGGCATGGCATGGCAGGGCAGGGCAGGGCAGGGCAGGGTAGGATAGGGTAGGGAAGTGTAGGCTAGGCTAGGCTAGGTTATGATATTATAATTATATAATTACCTGTGTCAAGAAGTGTATGTTGTCACTTTCACAGCAAACCACACACAAATAAGAGATTATGTATTACAGAACACAAAAAGATTTGGGTCTATGATTCAAGATGCATCTCAAGGAAATTTTGTAGAAGAAAAGATGCTAATATTCCATGCCCACATATGATTTACCTCCCTGCTTTTCAATAACAGTATGCAGGTAGTCCTCAACTAACGACTACAATTGAGCCTAAAATTTCTGTTGTTAAGTAAGACATTTGTTAAGTGAGTTTTGCCCCATTTTACGACCTTTTTGCCACAATTGTTAAGTGACTCACTGCAGTTGACAAGTTATTATCCAGTTGTTAAGTGAATCTGGCTTCCCCATTGACTTTGCTTGTCAGAAGGTTGCAAAAGGGGATCACATGATCTTGGGACTCAGCAGTGGTCATAAGTATGAACCAGTTGTCAGGCATCTGAATTTTGATCACATTTTTATCATGGGGATGCTACAAAGATTGTAACTGAAAAATGGTCACAGGTCACTTTTTTCAGTGCCGTTCAGTAACTTTGAACAGTCACGAAATGAACTGTTGTAAATCAAGGACTGATAAATTTGTCCCTGATAAATTTACTTTTCAGTACCAAAAAAAGAGGTTTAGCTCCTCTCATCTCAGCAATATACTGTACTTTAAAAACCCAATCCTCCAGTACTTACTTTATTTGAGGCAGTGGAATGAGTGAAATAAAAATCAACGACAGTTGTTACTTCAAAAACAGAGCATGCAGCAAGAACTCTTACCCACCCGCATGAACTCCACACTGTTATTCAAAGGAGTTTCTCTTTGGAAAAGTTGCAGAAAGTTGTCTTCCTCAGTCAAAATCATATTTGCAAGCTAAAATAACATAAATTATTAATATTGTTTAATATTCAGAGTCCTCAATCTGTACCAGGGTCAAAAAAAGGTTAAGAGGGCTTCCCCTGTCCTTTTGAATATGTCTCACACTTGTGACACATGTGAAAAAAGAATGGGCCTTCAATCATGCAAATATCTTGATTTTTTAACCTTTTTTTATTTCCCCTCCCCACCTCCACAATGCCCCTGATCTGTATGTTTACAGGACTCAGAGCTGTTTGAATTTGGTCAAAAAGTAAGATGACACCCACAATGAGGAGTTTGAAGCTCTACCTGGTTTTTTTTTATTTTTTTATTCATAATACAGTTAAAACAAAAATGGACAAACATGGTTTTTTATTGATATCATATGAGTGACACACATAAAATGTGGGCAGAGTTCATATCACCGTGACTGCCATCTTAACTTTTTTGACCACATCCTGTGAACACTCCTGCTAGGATTATTTTCAAAAATAGGAAATAAGAAATAGCTGAAATAAGAAAACAGCAGCAACATCTAAGATACAACAAATTCCTTGTATTAAAACTGGCACTTGGGTGTGTTCAATTCTCTATGCCTGAGGTCCCCAACCTTTTGGGCACCAGGGACTGGTTACATGATGAGAGGTTTTTCCACGGACTGAAGAGTGCGTGGTTTTGTGTGCTGCCTGCATCCCACGGATGGGGCTTTGCTTGTTTGTGCGGCCTGATTGCTGGCATGCCGTGGCTCGGTACCGGTCCATGGACCAGGGGTTGAGGACCCTTGCTCTATGATACATTTTCTAAAGTCCCAAAAGAAGAAAAGAGGTAGATACCTCTTGTATTTGTAAGCGTCCATCATCAGTCACACTGAAGGTTGATATTAATTGTTTTTTCACCCTCTGAAGCTCTTCTTCTGTAATGGTGCTCTGTCACAAAAAAACAAACCTAATGGGCTAAAGGTGATAGGATTATGGCTCCAGTTGTAATTCTGATACACCATTATACAACATTCATACAATATTATGGCCCTTTTATGTTTCTTTAAGATCACCCATGGAAAAGTTCCAGTTGGCACTCTGTACTGAAAGAAAAAGGATTACAGCAACTTTAAGTCTAAAAATAAATTTAATCTACTCTTCTAGGAAAGATTCTCAATTAAATATACTTGCTATCTTGTCTTGTAGGCATTTATAAATGGAGGAGCAGCACGCAACCATATATCCACACGTGTAGTACAGAATAAGAAGTTGTAGAGAATCACAGCCTCTGCAATTATAGGTAGTCCTCGACTTATGACCACAGTTGATCCCAAAATTTCCACTGCTAAGCAAGACAGTTGTTAAGTGAGTTTTGACCCATTTTATGACCTTTCATGCCACCGTTAAGTGAATCACTGCAGTGGTTAAGTTAGTAACACAGTTGTTAAATGAATCTGACTTCCCCATCGACTTTGCTTGTTGGAAGGTCACAAAATGTGATCCTATGATGCTGCAACCATCATAAATACACGGCAGTTGCCAAACATCCAAATTTTGATCATGTGACCACAGGGATGCTGCAACTGTCGTTAAGTGTGAAAAACAGTCCTAAGTTACTGTTTCAATGCCACTGAAACTTCGAATGGTTAGAAAATGAATGGTTATGTCAAAGATTACCTGCAGTCTAAATCCTTTCCACTTTTTCACATACTAACCCCCCCCAAATATTCCATATTGCACATTTTTTAGTGTTCAGAATTAATAATTAGACTTCCAAGACTTTGATGGTATTTTATTGATAAATAGAGTAAAGTTATACTCAGTCTCTTTCCAAGACAGAATCTGAAATCCCAATACCAACAAACGGTGATTGCATTTTGTCTCCAAAGCAACTATGGTATGTGCCTGCAGACATCTGAGTAAATTTAAACATTACTGGAATGTTTGGAAAATAATTATATTTGATGCCCCACATGTGAATTCTTGGAAGTTTCTCAGAGCTTTATAAAATTTATGTGAGAATTATATAAAGCAGTAGATAGTTCATTGAAAAGATTGGCTGCATAAGGACACAGTACTGTAATTAACACTGATTTTGCTTGGCAGGGCCCGCCTTTGAAATTAGACCAGATCAAAAAACGTCTATGTTTATTATTTTCCTATTTTACAGTTACCAGAGGCTTGTGGGAGAAGCTAGTTATATTTCGGGATGAAGGCTATGCATAGAAAATTCCAGTTCATTCAAATCTAGAAGGCTAATATTGCCTTAAATATGTAGAAATCAGAGAAGGTAAATACATCACTCAGGTCAGGTTGTTTAAGTGAGAGATCCTTTTATGTAGTTGAACTCAAAAACATTCTCCCTTTTTGGAAAACCATAAAAAATGTTATGTAATGCAGCAGTCCCCAACTTTTATGGCTTGGTGTCCTGGCAGGGAGAAAGAGGGGAACCAGCTCACCTTTCGTTCAAGATGAGCTGTGTTTGTGTGCTCTGGCCTGCTTCTTGCACAAGTCAAGCTGCACACATGTGTGCACAGGCCAGCAGCTTGCATGACCCAGTTCCAAACTGGCCATGGCCCAGTATTGAGCCACAGTCTGGAGATTGGGGACCCCTTCTGTAGTGAACTGAAATAGCAATGAGTTATAGCATAGTCTTATCTACCACTATACCACGGAGTCGCTGGCTGGCATATTAAAAGTCTTTTTCTTATTTTACAGACAGTTTTATTCAGGCTGGAGGAGAGGAGGTTGTCACTGAGGATTCTGCTCTTCAGTGATGATAGTCTTGCCATCAGAAAATGGCAGCTTCCTGTCCTCAACCTGAAGATATTTGATTGCAAAATCAGGTGAACTTCATCCTAGGCAGAATTTTTTTGGAGCAACTTTAAAAGTGTATGAATTGAGGTCATGCAAACACAAGGAGGCCACATGGATCCATGTTCTAAGGCATATTTTTATAGCTCCTCCTTTATTTCATAGAACCATTGAGTGTAAGGATTGGAAGTGACCTGGGAGATTAGTGGTATCCGCAGCAAACCATGATGATGTCAAAAATAATACCGTGACTTAAATACCACAACTACAAACTTGCTTCCCAACAGCTGGCACAAGTCACAGCATTTGTGTGATGCCATTGAACACATGTCATCATTTGCCAATGAGCCCTCCACTGGAGACCCACGGACCCATTTACTTTGATGCTATGCCCAGTGAATTGGATAGCAATAGTTGAGAATTGTTGATTAATAGAATATCCTGGATGATAAAAAGGTAACAGAGATGAAATAAGCCAATACAAATATGTGATACCTGGTCTTTAAATTATTCAAGAGAACATCAAAACCGGAGTATTATTTATTGCTAAAACTTGTCTATGCTCCAAGAAATATGGAAACAAGATTTTGAAAACCCCAATATCTCCAGATATTTTTATCTCAAATGAAGGATCTTACAGAAAGTAGAACAAAGAAGTGGGTTGATTTCCATGGTTGATTTTTAAAAATATCACCTATGATTATAATTTAAACTTCCAACTTGACTTTCCAAATGGAAACTATAAAAGAAGTTCAAGATCATTTAAGGTTTTGAAAATTATACTATAAAAGGGATAACAGAATAGAACATATTCAGCTGAACTCATCAGCTTCCTTTTTCTTATAAAATTGCTAAGTAATTAATAGCTCATATGTTTTAACTCCAAGCTATATAGCCAACTAAGAATTTATCCTTGAATGCATGTGCATGTATGTATTGGTTTATCTAACTTGAAGCAAATTCTTTACTTAAAACACATTTCATCAACAAGTTAGCAATGTTACTGTTTGCAAGCAATATTTTAAACCATATTATTATATCTAGCTAATTCTAATTACAAAATTAGATTTCTAATAACATTAGTCAAGAACCAGTTTGTTGGAGTGCTTAAGGCACCATGCTAGAAACTAGGAGATTGAGTTCTAGTACTGCTATTCTTTAGGCCAGGGGTGTCAAACTCACAACATCACATGATGTCGCGACTTATCACAACTTTTTTTCCATTGCTGGCAATGCGGTCAGCACGGTTTTGCCATGACGCAGGCCGGCAGTTTGACACCCCTGCTTTAGGCAATTTTCTTTACTTAAACTTCCTGTTATGCATGTTGTGTGATATTCTTGAGGAATCCTATTTCTCTCTCTTTTAACTCCTCCCATAAGTTGTCCATAGTATGGGCATCAGTTTTTTTGTCTCGAATATGATACCTTCATATTTTTCTAGAAAGTTTTGTACGTAACGCTCTATATTAGTGTTAAAATTGTTTATATTAATATAAAATGCATTGTGGTTTTGATTAATCTATATGTTCAGAGTTCAAAAGCTCAAAAGTTCCATATTGGTAGATATTGCACAAGGTGCACTTAATCAGCTGACAGTTGATGAAGAATGTTGGATGAAGCCAGTCTATGTGTTTTTTATGAACTCTGAATAACGGGTGAGCCTGTTAGTGAGGCCGTGCAAAATATTTGTCTGGTTAACCCACTATTCTTATTTCAAAACAAATAGCTAGTTTTCCTTTTAAAGTACATGGAAACAGTAACTAGGAAAAGCTGAGTCCAGCTATCAAGTTTTCAAAATGGAAGATTGGCTACTTTAATGGAGGGGGAGCCCTCAAGAGCCCTGAGGAAAATATAATGAAATTTTGCTAAATGTAGATAGAAAACCACAATAAGAGACTTTCTGAATGTCTGGGTTGTGAATAGTCCATTTCTTCTCTGGACCCAGATTTCAAAATTAACTCCTAGATTCCTTGGTGCATCTTGCCAGTTAAAAACCTCTCCCAATTCCCTATTTTGTCTTCTGACTTCCAATTGTTTCTTTTCCCATTTTGCATACTTGACAAATTCTGTCATTCTATTGTTTTCCCAGCTGGAGTTGCTTTTCTTACACAAAATGAGAACAGATTAGAGTAGTGAAAATGCCAACAAGCAGAGACTCCATTGGTCATTAGGAAAAAATAACAACAGGGAATGGTTAAAAATAATAATTATGAAAATGTTAGCTATTCAAACAAAAATAACTTTCAGTGTACACATTAGTACTTATTTGTTTGCTTGATGCCCTTTAAATTTTCAAAGCACAGAAATAGAAGCTAATTATTCTTTCGCAAATAACCCTGGAAAGCATGTTTGTATCACTTTGATATTTCCAAAATAGTCTACAAAATAATCCTAGATTGAATAGATAGATCACTGTAAAGAAGAGAGGAGATCTTCCATTCTCCATTTATAGGATTATAGCCATTGGTAATGTCTATTACAGTTAACAATATTGAAAATATGCATAAATGTGACTGACCCACCAAACAGATATGGCAGAGGAAGCATATATCCCAAGCTAATAGGCTGACTGGCACAGATAGGTCAAGATCAGGCGTGGTGAAATTTACTTAATCCTTCCTGTACAAATGATTTTGTCCTATAGATGTTCTTCCAGCCTGTCCATTTATCTAATTATTAAGGTTGGTCACAAAGTTAATCAGATATTTAGTATGGATTTGGCCAGTGGTGGGATTCAGCTGGTTCGCACCACTTCGGCAGAACTGGTAGCTAATTTTTTGTTGCCCAGGCCCAGAATGGACTTCTGGAAGTGGCATCCACACAGAGAACTGGTTGTTCACATATTTGAATCCCACCACTGGATTTGGCTTTTCTATCCACCTATACCCATCATGAAATCATAATTGCCAATTATTTAGCTGCTGTTGGCCTTTATTCACACCAAGTTCTTAGTTATATTTATTTAATGGGCTGGGAAGATGTCTTCATTTGTAAGATAGAACTGGTTGGGACAAGAAAATGTTATTAAAAATGATTTATTTTGCCCCTAGGAACACCCCCCCCCCCGTTTAGTCTTTGCAGTTAATATTAGTAGAAAGTTCAGAATTGGTAATCCTAATTTTTCTATTCTAAATAATTCTCAAAAGAAAAAGCCAAAGAAAAATATTAGAGACACTAATGGAGCCATAATATCATGTCCAAGATCTTGGTAAAAATTCTTTGACTGAAAGCATCTTCAGGAAGATTTGGGGATTGAATTTAATAAATTAAATTGAAAAAAAAATGGATATGAATTCTGGAAATATCACCAAAGTGGCCCTTAAAAGGCTTGTTTATATTCCATGTTTGAAGCTGACTCAACCTATCTCAAGCCTCAAGTAGGCCAATTAACCTTGTGATTTGGTGCCAGTTTGCTTAAGAAACCCAGGGCTACTACGATTACATCAGAAGTGGTCGTTTTACCACCATCCTACTACTTTTGCAATGGCCTTATTTCCCATGCGGCTTGTTTTTCTCATCTGATTTGTCTTAACTCACAGTGGCCGAACGGGGTTGAGATGTGATGCATTGTGCCTATTTCACCTGCCCCATGTGCCTACAGGTTGAGTATGGTGGAATAGCAATGGTGAAAAAACAGGGGAGAAAAGCAATTAGAAGGTTCCATTTTGCAGCTGCTATGGTCTCCCACCTGGACTAAAGAAAGAATTAATTTCAAGTGAGCTCTTTTTTAATTTGATTTATAAATCTGACTAAATAAATTTGATAAATAAAGCTCCTTTGTCTGGATTTGGACAACATGAAAAGCTCTGGACAAGATAGATAAAGTAAATCCCCCCTTAGATACAAAGTTGGATAAGATGCTCCACTTAACCATATTGTGTCCAAGGTTCTGGGTTCATATGACCAGCTAGGTCTGTGATTGGCTGTTTCACAAATGTGGCTTCTATAGGAAATAATTGTATTGTGGAAGGTTGTCTTATCCATTTCAGAAAATCAGTTCCCAGAAATCTAAACCTTTCATTTCCTTTCTTAACAAGGCCAGGATTTTAATTTTTAGAAGGTATGTATAACATAACTTTTTCCCAGCATAACTAGTTAGTATTCATTCTCTTCATAATGTAATTGGTAAACGAGAAAGAAATGTTGTATTCTCCTTTCACCTGTCAATTTCTTTTTCTCTCTTCTCAAAATTCTAACAAACCAGGATCCTGCAATTACAATAAGATTACCAGAAACCTTAAGGCATTGAAAAATAGAAGCCTGGTAATTCTGGCTCCTTCATGACTGGGGAAATGTCTGCAGTGATACTATAATTCCATTTAGTCAAATGGAAAATTGTTCTTTCTACAAAATTTAGTAAACATGCTCTGCTAAAATGGCCAGTTTTCATGCAGATCTCGCCTCTGAAAACAGAGAGGTCAAAAATAAAATTGGATATATACTTCCAGAGAGAGCAACAGAGACCAACCTACTGTTCATCTATTTAGAAATGTGTCCTCACTTTTAAAGAAAAAAATAAATAAAATTCAGCCACTGATTGAACTACGTCAGTTAATATTTATCCCTCTATAGCCTTCCTTTATTTTTTGGTATTACATGGAAATACAAAGTTATCATTCAAATTTCTTTTTTGTTGACAAAGAGTTAAAGAGTTATTCTAAATTGGTAACACTTTAATTTTAATGATAACTGATCATATACATAGGCTTACACTAGCCTTCTAATAAATGGTTCAGAGTTTAACCTTTTTTTATTTTTTATTTTAGGCAACCTTGAGGAAGTACAACGTATTTCTAGACCTGATAATCTCAGTTTACATATTTGCAAATTATTCTTATATTCTTTATATTTATATAAAGTGGAGCCTTAGTTCAGACATGATTTAAACACATTCACACACCCCAAATTTAGCTTTCCCTCATTTCTGCTTTTCAACAAGTTGCCTGGTTAGCAATGGTTAGAAATTGGAAAGTCTGTTCACTATTGTGTAAATAAATACACAGTTAGTGTAATAAAAGTATTGCCAATGTCTTTTATAATTTTTTAAAATTAAAATTCTGCATTTTCAAGGACAGGCAAAATAGACCATAGAGGGAGGCTTGTGTATCTCTTTTCGTCCTCTGAACAGGAAGTAATCAAAATTAAAATAAAAGGGCAATTCACTTGCTGAAATAAAATAACCAAGTAGTACCTTATTTATAGACCTTTGCATCCAAGTATACAGTAAATCCAAAGAAATCCGATATTAATTATTTTGGAACCCAGAATACAACATCTGTAAAACTAATGTTCCTACAGATTCCATAGGCCTCAGAACACCTGCTTTACAACCTCCTTCATCCGCTCCATGGATACACAAGCCTCTTGGTTCATCCTCATTAATCAAACTAAACAGGTGGTGCAGTTTCCTGAAAAAGACAGGTGTGCCTTATGCCTGAAATATGACCACTGAGTTGGTGGCAAATGTGGAGAATCAACACAGAGCCATCAGTATTCAGACTGTTTGAAAGGAACTGAAGTAGACTCTGAGGTAGCAAATGATTTTTAGCGGTGGGAATTACCAGTAGGAGGAACATGTAAGGACATAGTTAAATAACCTCATCATGATCAAACATAGTATACAGAACAATCAAGACTCTGCACAGAGAGTCTTAAAAAGTCAGCCTGCCATTTCAGTGGAGGATGGGTGGAGAAAAAAAATTCAGCCTCTCCTCCCAACTGCTCATGGTAAACAACTGAGTTCCAGAACAGATGTTCAGCTCTGCTGTATTTAATCCAGCCAGGAATAAGCTGGACAAGCTTTCGTTCGTGTCATCCTTACATGCAGATAAGATGGAGTACTTACTTTACTGCTCAGGATCTCAAGCAGATGACAGAAAAAGTTATCAAGCTCTTTTCCTTCTATGTAGCCATTGTCTAAAAATAAAATAAAATAAGCTATATTACTGAGTATGCAATACTAGTGTATGGATCCCCAGCCCAATGCTTTACATCACCAATTCCTATTTCATAAATTGATTAAATCTATATTTCGAAGGAGCTTGAGATGCATAGAAGCCCCAGATTTGTTCCTTTCTGTTGCTAAAGCCTTTCCCCCCTACATATGCAATTAATGTATGAGTTATTTACCTTGTTTAAATGAATTGAATTGGATACTTTATTTGGCCAACTGTGATTCGACACACAAATAATTTGTCTCCGGTAACGAAGCACTCAGTGTACATGCAAAGCCACAGAGAGAATAATAATAACATCAATAAAAGGGGGAAGTAAATAAGGATAAATAATATTAAACCACGCTGTGTGGGTTAATATACATAGACATTAGGCAAAACTGCAAGAATTAGGTGTTCAGCAAAGTGACGGCACGAGGGTGAAAAATCTCCCTGTGAGTAACGAGTCATTAAAAACGACTCAGGAGTAAACAAACGAACTGGTCGTCCATTAATTGCCCCAACCAGTGACAAAAACGTTTGCAGCTTGACAGGGCATCTTGTATCCGAGAGTGAAGCACGTCGGTTACAGACAAAGTTCAGGACAAGGGGGGAAGGGAACCCAAGAGCGTAAATTTCAATCAAACATAGGGCCCGTTTGGGGGGAGCCTACAGAAGAAGGAAACAGGCTTATCCCAAAGAAGTTTTTGCCCGAGGACCCTCCGCGCCCTAGCCCTATCATCTCCCCCCCCCCCATCTCCCCCGCCTCTTACTCACCATCAGCGTCGAAGCGCTGCCAGAGGCTCCGGAAACTTGCCATGTCCAAGCGGGGCAGGAGGTCGCTGTCCATGGTGCTTACGATGGCCAAACTTTGGGACGGCGGCCTTTGAACCGACCCGCGGCGGCGACTGGAAAAGGAAAGCGACTGTGGAGCCGCGGAGCCGCCCAGCGCTCCCAAGTTCCCACCTGCTGCCTCGAGAGGCGGTCAGAGCGATCTCTGAGAGGAGGGGAAATTAAGCGAAACTGCACGGATCGTTGTTTCCGAAGTGATTAATTGGTAGGGATGACAGACATCTGCACTCCCCACAGAAAGCAAGAGAACCGAAATGGTGCTTTAAATTAAGTTGTCCTCTCCTTACTTGCGACGGCTTCAGAGCGAACAGCGTTAAGATCTACACTGGGGGCTGCAGAGAAAACGTCTCTGTTGGACAATTTGATAAAGTTTTGGCATTGGTCTTTTTATTAAACACACACACACACACACACACACACACACCACCACCACCACCACCAACAACAACAACCCAAAGTGCCGTCTAGTGGGTGGGGAAAGCACCCGAACTTTAGACGAAGAAGTGAAGAAATGACTATGAGTAACCTCTCATTATTTAATCAGAAGCCAGGGTGCATTTGTGGGGTAACTTTTTAACCCTAATGATTACAGGCAAATCAATCTTACGTGGTTACAGTGGTTCTTATGAGTTACAGCTATTCTGCCAGAGACATTTTAAAGCATCACCTGTGTTTTCAAAAAGATTTCCTACACACTTAGCATTGTTGAGGGATATGAAAAGGAAATCTTTATTATCCATGGTTAATTAATCAACAGTATTTTCTGCATTCAAAATGGGTCTGAAGGCTCCCCTGCCTCTCATAGAAGCAGTACTATTTGTAGAATGTTAAATTAGGGTTTTTAAATGGTTTCAAGCCTTGACAGAAAGCTAGTGTTGGGTGTTTTTGAGGCTGCAGTTGCGCAAGATGGTAATTATTAGCACTATCCATTACCTTCCAATTTTTTTTAAAAAAAATTATTAGCTGTTTTGTTGTCTTTTCTCAGATCCTGCAATTAACTGCATGTGGCTAGCCTTTAATCATTTCTTTCTGAAAACTTTATTTATACTGCTCCATATAAGACAACATAATATAATGAGAAGAAGAAACCAGAAAGAATAAGACTCAATCTTTGATTATTTATCCTAGTGATATTTCATATTTCTACTTTTTCCAATTTCCATTCTGCTTACAACGTTCATTTTTACAATGAGAATTCCTTGCAAAGACTTGAATTGATTGCATAACAGCTGAGGCAGCAACCCAAAAGATTTCTAAAAACTCTGGAAAAATGAATGTACACCAAACGTCCATATTTGTTCAACTGCTTGTTCATTTGTTCCATATATGTGTCAGAAATACAGAGATACTAACATTCCCAACTTAGAGGATTGAACTTCTTGATCAAGTTTAGAAGTTTCTAATCTATGCAGAGGTCTATTTTCCATCCACCTTTCCTTTGCATACTTTTGGGTGTAACATTACATTTACATTGCTATGTGCATATCTATAATTACATCAGAATACAATGAAGCTATTCTTAAATCAATACAATATATCAACATTTTTATGGGCTTACACATTTGGATATGTAAGCCCATTAAAAATGAAAGGCACTACCACTAAAACTGAAGCATTAATTAACACTATGAACTCCCAAATGGACGAGAATAATTATTATGCTCTAGATAAAGGCTTATGAAATGTTAAATGTGATATTTAAAGCAAGAATTGCCTCCATATCTAATGAATAGGTTTAAGCAAACCCTTTTATTACCCTCTCCTAATTTTCTAAGTAGAAGAATAGATTCAGTAGGGGATGTGAAAGGAAATAAATAAAGAGGAAAGGAAGGGAGGACTGGGAATGAGTTGGCCTTACTTTTTGACAGTTTTAGAACTGATAAGTTTGTCTTATTCTGGGTAAGGAAACTCAATATCTTATATTATTTTAATAAAATAAGATATTATTTTTGCTCAGTTCATTATCAGAAGAAAGCATTCAAATGTCATTTTATGGCAAATGCAGATGACAAAACAGCCAATTCTGGCTGTGAATACATTTAGCTTCCTTATGCCCCCAATGGATACTAGTAAGCAACAATCCATCAGAGTTTAAGACAGTCTATCTTTTTCTCTTTCCCCATATAATTAGCATTTAAGCATAAACATTAAAATCTCTTCAGCTGTTCCAGTTTCATTGTGGCTCGTATACCTATCCTGTTTTATGCATAGCTCTACAGACGGATTCCTACAATATCGCTCCAGTAGAAGGTTGTGAATCCTCATAAAAATTACGTACAATAAGCTACACTGAAAAGACATTTTATAGCCTCCTTGCCTTTAGCCAAAACCCATTATTTCTAACAAAGGGCATTATTGTATCAAACTGTAGTAAAATATACTGTATTTTTGTCTAAGAATGTGATGGCTTACAATAACAACCCTTACTCAGTGGTCCATGTCAAGCTAGAATGAGATGTCAACTGGAGTTTTACAGGGCTCCATTGTACAGCCATCATTGTTCCTGTATGCAAAAAATATGCACGAGGTTATCATGCTTATCAAACAAGATTATCAACCTCACAGATGACATCAAGATAAGGAGGATAGCAAATATCCTGAATCAAGATTCAGGATGATCTTCAAAAACCAGAACAAAAGCCAGAGCTACAGTCAGAACATCTTAATGGCACATTGTTGGAGAAAACTGCTGTGCAGGATTTCCTAGAAATACCTAAGAAAATCAAATTACATTTACAACAATAATTGACTCACAAAAAATGAAAATCCTGTCAAAAGAGATTGACAATACGTTCCTATTTAAGCATGCCTATTTACTTAGAAACAAGCCTCTTTGAACTCAAAAACATATAAAGAACCATACTGCCACTCTTGACAGGCTGACCCTTATCACTTTATTCCTAAATGGCCCATATTTTTACCCCCATATCTCTTTTATTGCTTTATTTCTTCCTCTTAAGTTATGAGAATTGTATTTGTATTTCTGAGCGGAAGGTATGCATGAGCCTTTTAGAGTCCTAATACCAAGGAGCAACAATCAAAACATTTCATTTCATCTGATTACATTTACAACATTAAACTATTTGAATGTATTCCTCAGGAAATGTCAGTGATTTCTTAAAGTTAAAAAGAAAAAAAAATAATTTGGCCATATAAATTGTCTTTTGCTTTATTTCAAAAGTGACATCCCTTTTCTAAGCTAACACGAGATGCTTAAGCAATTATTATAACAGGCAATGCCCCAAATGTGGTATCTGGAGGGAGGCCATTTGCAATTGGATGCAATTGTATCCCTTAGATCCTAATATTTTCATTATTATGTTGTTGATTGCAAATCCTATTGACAAACATTTTTAGCAGGTGAAGAAAGAAATACTGGGTTCAGTCAGAGAAACACTGAGGAATTGCAGCCATTCTTATTTCCTGAAGCGCACCAGTAACCTTGCCTAGTTGGTATGGGATCAAATGATCTTGCAAACAATATTTACCCCAGTTCATATATTCCTGGTGCAGAACATTCTCCTCTGGAAAATCATGTCCTTAGCACGAACAATTCATAGTCTTGAAAACTACTTTTAAAAAGTGTGTGTGAGAGAGAGCTGAAGGCCTGGGATTCTTTTATTTCAAGTTCATTTCAGCTACAATTTTACTATTTGGACATGAGGAAATGGTTACTTCTGAGCCTCAACTACCTGAGATGGAATACAGGATACACAACTGCAGAAAGGACTTTTCTCGGGATAAATAAACTTTTGGAGGCATGAATCAAAAGCTCTAATGAACATTAAATAGAGCTGATTCATTTTTGATATTAGATAATGACAGCAATATCAACCCTCCATGTAGAACATCCTGAATATGCCAGAAATCAACTGACTTTTTTATTATTGGAACTGTTCTTTAGACTAGTCCAGAATCTCATGCATCTATCCACAGACACAGGGCTCACACCACTACATGCTCCATAGACCTCCCTCCATTCTTTCTTCCTGGTCTGATTCTCTAAGAATCACATTCTCTTTCGTTCTCTTGTTCTCATTCATTTCATTCTCTTTCTTTTTATGTACATGATTTTCTGGGAACAGGCATCTCAAAAGGGTCTTCAGATTGAGCCTCCCAAACAAGGAGATATCAGAAGTGGGGTCAAGTGCTGTCTACAGTTGGTGACTTCTGGGTTATATCAATGGCTTAAAAGGTAGGCTGTTAGAGTATCAATGCTAATAATGTCATTTCTCCAATGGATATATTGAGTAAGGCAAGAACAATTCTTTATGATAAATATCTCGCTGAAGTTCCAGAATTCAGGCACTGCTACAAAAAGAAATTATGTACCATTTGCTTTGCTGTTCATACATGGAAAAAAAATGCTAACAATATAAAGTTGGATATTTGCCAGATAATTCAACTATCCTTGAATGTTGAAATAAATATTTCCTTATGGGGAACTAGTTCAAAGGCAAGTTGATAGCTTGACCAGGTTGCCGTGCTGCATTTCATCCAGTCCCTGCTATGCAACAACACCAGTGAAAAAAGAAAAATTAGATGATTCTTTCCATAAACACTTCAAACCTTGACATTTTAATAAGGGCTATTCTCATTTACAATATTTGTTCTTAACAGCTGTGGTTTGAAGAACAGAAAGGTCTGCAAACCTGTACTGCAGCCAATAAAATGTTGCTCTAGGAAAACAGTCTTTATCTATTCTGATACTTAATACTTTTCTTTGCACTTGTGAAGGTTGCTATGTGTTACTCAGAAGGGCACAATTTAGTTCAACAATAGCAAATCCAATTCTTCAAAACACTTACGCTGAGTACCATTTCTCAGAATGATCAAAGATTCATTACTGCCTCGATAGCTTACAAGATGGACTTCAAAGCTGTCCTTTGATTCTTGTTGTATTCTAATGCTGCATCTTAAACAGCCCCTCTCAACCTAGCACATAGGGCCACCAGATATAAAACAGCAGTTGTTCCCAGCTGACTGAGCATCTATTCTAACATGCAGGGAGAAGCTACCTTGTGAACTTACAATATACTCAAGATTCTTTTACAAAAACAGGGCAATACAGAGCCTCTGGCATTTGTATTCTGTCCTACCAAAGTGGAGTTACGTAGGACTGTAATTTAAAGCTCACACTTCATAAAGGATGTGACTTGAGCAGAAACAGAGCTGCTGTTGTTCTCCAGCAGTATAAGCTTTGATACTTTTGTTTGTGTGATAAACAGGCTCTTTTCTCTAATCCTGAAAAGTAGATCAGGCTGCTCAATATCTCTTTATTCCAATTTTAAAAATAGAGCTTCTACTCTCACGATTAATAATCTGGAGCTG